CCTGCTGAAGACCCTCTTTCCATTCATTCTTGAAGAAAAGTGCAAAATACGCCCTTGGAAGGAGGACTGACACAATCTGTTCTTCTACCCTAGCCTACATCACAGCTGTTACAAGGCCTAGAAAATCCAAGATAGAAAGAAGAGTCATCTGTCCTGGTATTTGATGAAAAACAAGCAGGCTATGTTAACCCGATTTCAAGCAAACAATCTTATTCTGTCTGGACACTCTAGCAGTAGCTGGCATGAAGTAGCTGGCATGAAGTCCACTGCAATATGAAGTGGACAGCTGAAAACACTTACTGAAATGGGCCAGTAACACTCATTGTTTTATATAAGTGCTTGAACACATTTGTGACAACTGAGCAAGCTGACCATGCATATGGTTCCTCAAAGTAAAAAAAAAAAACCCCAAAAAAACCCAAACCACAACCACAAATCCCTCCCTCCCACCAAAACCCAATGTAAAAGCTAACTCCTAATTGATGCTAGTAGGTAAGAACCTACAGAAAACTATTATGCCACCCTTTGGGAATGGTCTTGACTGATATTTGCTAAAGAAATAAGATTTTTGAAGTCTTATTCCACTGGAAATGTGCACCAGCCATCTCTGCTGGACAAGGACATTAAAGGTCACAGATGTTGGCTCTGCAGCAGGCCAACTTATTCTGCAAAGAAACCAGCCAACCATTAAAAATGATTTTTTTTTTTTCCCAAAACACAGGTCTCAAGCCATGTCGATCCACAGGGGGAACAGAAGAATTTATGCTAATGAACTCTCCTTTTGGACAGATCTTTACACTCAGTTCAGCAGAAAATATTAGTATGAAGACCATGGCTGTACAATTTTAGGCAAAGTACTAGTTACTGGGCAAAAAGCAAGAAAAGCTGGACATATATCCTCAGAAGACTTTAAAATCCTCCAGCTTTTTTTCTTTTGTGCTTTTTGCCCATCTTTAACACACTGCTGATCATGTCAGTAAGCAGGCAGAATTTTTGTACTATTATCCTGTATTATAATTCTCAGTTCCCTGGTTCAGGCTAAAGGAACCAATAAACTGCCCACCTGTTATTAACAAATGCAAATAAACAAGTAATAAATGCAGTTTGAAGTATGGGATAATAATAATAATGGGCCTTTTGCGATAGGACAAGTGGTAATGGTTTTAAACTAAAAAAGGGTAGATTTAGACTAGATATAAGGAAGACGTTTTTTACAATGAGGGTGCTTAAACACTGGCACAGGTTGCCCAGAGAGGTGCTAGATCTGGAAACATTCAAGGTCAGGTTGGATGGGGCTCTGAGCAACCTGATCTAGTTGAAGATGTCTCTGCTCCCTGTAGGGGGGTTGGACTAGATGACCTTTAAAGGTCCCTTCCAACCCGAACTATTCTATGATTTATTGTTCCATTATTTGACCATTTTTTATTGTTACTATAAACCACTTTTTATATAAGATTTCCCTAAGGCTTAAAAAGTTCTTACACTGTATTCAAATGGGAGCCCAAATCTAGAGTTTAAGGCTTTTTAAATACAAGGAATAAAATACCCCTAGCCTACCACTACAGTTAAGACTTACAAATAACATGTTAGATCACAGTGAATTCAACATGTGAATTCCAGAATCAAATACTGGGCATAAAGATGTATACTTAAAACTAAGCTTTGAACTAGTCACAGAAAGGAAACTAATATGAAACAAAAACTAGACTTATTCTACCTTACATGCATTTTGACCCATCTGGAGTTTTACCAATTTAAGGAAAATAAGTAAATTAACTGAATGTTCATCTGTTCAAATGTCATTACAACTATACATACACATTCTGTTATCCAAGATATTATCTATTATGAAAGTACACGTATAAACATCATTCTGTATTAAGTTTTAATAACAATTAATGAAGTTAAATTAGAGAAATAATGCGTAAGAGTAGGACTTAATCAAACAAACATTTCACTATTTACTTATTTCCTGCTGGATGCAGTTACAACACCTACTTCCAATACCACTTTAATTCTTACTTAGCTCAAAAAAATGCATTAAAAGCTGACATAAATTTTTAGAGTAAAAACCTTTTGCACGAGATGTGTTTGCAAGCCTCCATTCTCTGACAAGCCAAAGTCAAGTACTCCATCATCTTTTTGCCCAATGGCCTTAAGACCTTGCAGAAGTATTTCTCGGAAATGCTGATAAACAGGTTTCTCTTCATAGCTCAGTAGCTTCACCTTTTCCATATATTTGGCTATTTCATCTAAAGAAATGGTACCTCCAATTAATTTCTATTTGAAAACATTTTAATCATTCACTTTTACCACAAAAGAGTCAGAAATTATGCATGCACTACTTATGCTGTTTTTGAAATGGTTATTTATAAACTCACAATTATGACTTTACTACAACATGTTTTAGAAAAAAATTATACCAAGGTTCATTACCCAGTGATGACAGTATCACTGTTTTTTACACGTTCATTGCAATGAAGAAAACAGTCAGTCGTAAAAAATGTAATAGGCCAATCTTCACCAATGAATGCTTGTTTATATGATATTTCTTATGTCTATATTTAAAAATATTGAAAAGGAAACTCAATGTTATCTCAGAACTTCATCAGTTCAAGACTGAAACATACATTAAAAAATACATGACACATTTCCCCACTGAAAAATCAGACAAGTCACACTTGACAGAGAGAACTCTCTTCTGATCACCAGAAGTAGCTGAAAATAACTAAAATATTTAAGTGTAAGATCCCAAGAAAGTGTATTTCTGATAGTCAAGTTTCAAAAAAAAAAAAAAAAAAAAATCTACTCAGCAAATTGCCAATGCCAAATAGAAACAGTCTAGACTTCAAGTTCGCATTACTTTATATTTTGAATCTCTAAAATTCAGCTGTGAAAAATCACTTTACACGTTTCATGTCTGCAAATACTTAATACTGTCTTTAGTCAGAAGCAACACAGTGTCTGCAGTTCATATAACTGCAGCCAAAAGGAAGAGTCTAAACTCCTAATCAACGATCTAATTCATACCACTCTGTTGTTGCTGATAAGAGCAAGAATTAAAACAGGTACAAACTTAAGTAAACAAGGAGGACTTAAAGAAGCAACAGATTAGAGTACAATGCCTGAGACACACCTCTCGGGGAAAAAAGCTGCTGACAGTCTGACAACTCCTCACCTTTTGCAGCAACTAAATTGATCTGTTTTTATTTGAATACAGAGTAGCACAGCCTTCCCTTGTACACACTCAATGTACCCCATGTAAATATGGATTTCAAAGCTTCTACACACTGTCTAAAGTTGTCTACAGTTTGGTGATGGCACCCAAACAGATTGATGGATTTTTTTTTTTTTTAAAAGAAAAAGGACATTAAAACAAATTATTAGAGAATGCTTACCACATGGTACAAACCAAAGTATTTTAATTTAAAATAGCTCCTCTTACCTGGTTTATTTCTCCCAGGAAAGCATTTGTCCATCAAAACTGAAATATTATCTCTACATCTGAAAAACAAAATTATTCAAATCTATTGTTTCTTTCAAAGTTTGAATCTTGCCCTGTTCTGATAGACTTCCTAAGTATCAAGCTTGGGCCGCTGTCAGAGACAGGAAACACTACTAGATAACCTTTGGTATGACTTAGTACAGCCATTTTTAGGAGTGCAGTATATTTGAGAACCTGACAGACACCAGACAGGCTATCTGAAATACGGTAAGTTTTGTTCAACAGTTTTTGATTCCTATAAAAGCAAGCAAGTAGAAGACTGAAGGAAAAGAACTGGTCCATTTTAAACTCTCACATACCAATGCTCTCACCTCTTCCTGCTAGAGGAGTCTTTCTCTAGGTGATACTATTCAGAACAGATCCCCGGCCAAAATAACTGGGGGAAGTGGGGAGAGCTTCACTAACATGGATGGAGGCCGAAGTGTTATAAGTAGGGATAAGGAAGCCAAATAACAAATACTTGTTAATGAGACAAACTGGTGTGCTGGGACAACTTTCTTCATATTAAATACCTGACAAGAGAGGGTTGAATAGGGGTGCGGGAAAGACAGGAATGTAACAGTGAGGGAGAGGGACAAAAAAAAATTTTTTTTAAAAATCCCACATTAGTAGCCCTCTAGCTGGAATGATGCTCAAAGACATTTAAGATCCACCTTTAGCTCTCATCTCTGCCATTGACTTCAGAGCATGATGTTATAAAGGCTACTCATACTCCATGCTTCAGTTCTCTTTCTAAAGAGAAGACTAAGGACTAATGCAGGACTAATGGGTTACCTGCATAGTGATAGGAGTGCTTTTTGGCTTAACCATGGCAGTATTTTAAAGCATACTGTGGTGGATAAACAAGCATCTCACATATGCAAAAGAAGACAGAGTAGAACAGTACAAGTTAATTACAAGTCAAGGATACATGAGAGACAATGAAGTGAAACTGGGGAGAATACAAAACAATAGCCTACTCAGCAAAAGGGAACATCCTGAAAGTGCAAAGCATTTCTACATTAAGACATTTTCATTGCTATTTTCAATTTCAAAAGAGAAAGAAAATAAGTAATTTCTCACCTGATTTTTGAGTCTCTGACAAAATTTGGATCTTTCAAATTATCCTCCCACGGTAGATGGCCACTAAGCCAATGAATCATACAGTAACCCAAGATCTCCAGATCACCACGTCTCGATGGCGCTAAATATATACGCACACACAAAAAAAGAACCGTAAGAGCAGCTAATAAAGCACATATAGTTTAACAACAGTTAAAATTTGTAAATATGTTAAGACAATAGAAAGCCAATGCTAACAATGTAACACTACTGTATCTTATTTATTTCTTTATTTTAGCATGAAAGCAAGGAAGAAAAAAATATTGTTCCTACATCTGGAAGGATAACGTCATTTTCAAGTCCTTTATTAATCTCTTTTTTCTACTCAAGGATATGACATGCTGCAGTTATCCCAATTTGGGAAGCTTTTTAAGTACTCCAATTGTGGAAAAAATAGAGCAAGTTAGCGAAGTAATTGACTTTCTGTTCAAAACAGTTTTTATTTCCCTCCTTCTATAAAAAAGTAATAGTGCTAAAACCCCAGCTCCTGAAAAAAGTATTCCACAATGCTGAAATATTTTCTGTGCCCTGAAAACTGAACAGAGGACAATAATAGACCAGATCCCTAAGCCTTGCCAAAAAAAAAAACCCCAAAACCACACACATGTATATTGACCACAGACTACACTAGAAGTATAAATGGGCAAATCAAGTCATCTTTGTTCATGTTCAGTTTTAAGCATAGGTGCAACAGTTCATCCTAAAGTAAATAATAATTTTCCACAACTGATATTTTTGCAGGACATACTTTTATGTTAATAAAACAAAATTTAAGAATGAAGAAAATAAAATTGGTGTTCACTATAAATTCTCAACGTTTAATCAGGCATAGACCTGTCCTTTTCATGCTCAGCATTTTCTCACTTCTTGCCTTTTGATATTCAGTGACTGTAGGCATAATTATGATATAATAATATTTATTTCATAATTAAATGAAGTTTCTTAACAAAAATCTTCTAAATATTAAGCCATAAACAAGAATAATGTGCATATTTGCCAAATATGAGGGAACAATGTTCACACTGATAACAGAAACTATTTATCTCCTGAAAACAGGGCCTGTTTTT